CAATGTGCATATTAGCCCTATGCCTAAGTCTATTTCATGTTATACTGCTATATGCTTATGCCAGTTATGGAAATAATGTGATAAATATGCATCCAATATTTGATGAAGTAATATAAGATGTTATAAATCATCACACCAATAAATTTTTCATCTAATCTTTTATTAGATCTACAGTATAATTAAAATTGTCTACAAGTTTATGAGATGTCAAAAATATACTGGCATCTTTGTTTATTGCAAAATTAGGTTTTTTTTTGCACACCAATGCATATGAAGCATACACATCATGTTATATAGACAGTAACTGCAAATCTGTTTGTATGATTGTATTATGGCCTGTTGGTAGTGAAAAACTTCTAATGTAATGCAAGGCCTAACAATGTATTGGACATCCAGTGCTGCCAAGTCAAATGTGAGCCATCATATACAGCATCAGTCTAAACACAATTTTCTTCAGGCTAGGCCTAGATGTATTTGCTTGTAGCAAGGAATTCTCTATGAAATTCTGCTAAAACAGGCTTCACACACATAAAACAAATGGAAAATTATAATAAAAATAAAGATTTTGAATGAATAAATAACAACATTAAATAAATCTCAATATAAATATTATGTAATGAATTCTACTAAATTAAAAAAATTAAAAGCATTACATAATAATTTAATACATTTCAGTATTGAATATAATGTTAAAAAACCAATATTAAATAATCAAATCAACATTGTTTGTATTGTGAAATTAATTTTTATTTCCATCCACCTGCAGGTTTGAAAAACGCCAGGCCAGTGTAATTTTAAAACACCTTAGCTTTCAAATCAAAACTACCAGGAATGGTTAGAAAGAGATTCAAACCATTAGAAAAGCAAGATGTAAACTACACAAAAGTTCACTTGACATCAGTAATATGGAAAAAGCAACTTTGCACAATCATATGACAAGCAAAAAACATGCAGATACTGAAGGCAATATCAAGCAACAATACTCATGGTTCATACTGAATTCTCAGAATGTTTTTCAAGCACTTTTTGGAAGATAAAATTTATATCAAAATCAGTCTGATTCCTCTGAAATTTTATAAAATTCCTATTTATTTGTTCAACATATGAATATAGACTAAAAATAAAAGAAAGACTTTATTTATTGTGCTCAACCCCACAACATACTTTAAAGTTAGATATATTGATATATTCTGCTATTATAATATTTTCAAGTACTTTTGCAAAATAAGACTTATTTTCAAGCCCTTGAAATTCCTCAATTTCAAGGATGTGTATGCAACCTGAATACTACTACTGTCTGCACCTTCTTCAAACCACCTGAATACTACTACTGTCTGCACCTTCTTCAAACCACCTAAACAGAAACTGCCCATTTTAAAAAACAAACTACCACTGTGACTGCCACCGGTTCAACTTCCAGCATCCAGTCATTTATCTTTTTACTGATGTTTTAAGATCAGAAGTTTTATGGACTTTGAGAAATATTGACTGTCATGGTTCATTTCATTCAAATGAAAGGAACACAGAATTTTTCAAGAGTATGTTCCCCAACAGTAAAATTGCCCCAAAATTATAATGTTGTGAAGACCAAACATCATACTTAAATGTGCATGAATTAGTAACTCCATATTTCACTTTCATACTGAAACAGAAAATCCAGAAATCTAAATGGTATATTCTTTTGTTTGATGAAAGCTTGAACAAGTCTCTCAAAATGAAACAGTGCAACATTCATGCTCATTTTGGGATGAAAAAACTGGACACACAAGATATATCAAATCAGAGTTCTTAGGACATGCCACTGTAAATGATCTATTTGACAAGCTGCCCTGTGTCATTACAAACCTCGGTTCTGAGAATTTATTGCAAATATCCATGAAGAACCGCAATGTTGATCAGAAATTACATGAAATGTTATCAACTGAAGCTAATAAAATCAATCCAAATAATAATAAAAAAAGCTGTTGTAAGTTGGCTGGAGAATATCAGTGTTGTGGAAAAGTGCTTGCTCATCTTAAAACATATGTGGGTGCTCTGGAAAACCCATCAAAATAGGATGATAAACCAATGTTGCCACTTATGGCTGTAGACATGTTTGTTCTTGTTTGGGTATTCTTAGAAAGATTTGTCACTTTAGAAGGACTGGAAAACAACACATTACAAGCTTAAATTGACAGACTGGTTTTGTTACAAAGAAAGTCTTTAATGATTTAAAGAGGGCTTCAAAAATTAGTGATAAAACTTGCTACGCTTTAGACTTAAATAAAGGCAGTTCATCAAGGTTGATGTGAAAAGTATTCAGAAGCATGAGCTGCTTGGATGTAGAAGTGATGTTATTAAATGCATCATCCAGTGCTGTTCTGTTTTTTCTTGATTAAATAGTCTGGTAAATGCAGGCGGGGTAGAAGAAAGGGACTGTGACACTATTCTCAAGCAGTACAAAGAGTTTCTCATGACATCCCTTCAACTGCCTGATTCAAGATTTGGGATGTTTTAGAGAGAGAGCAGGACAAACTGGATACTCTATACTTTCATCTCCTGTCTTTTAAGAAACAATTCCAGAAGCTTTGGAGAATTTGCAAAACTCTTTTTTCCCTGTCTCATGGACAGGCCAGTGTCAAAAGGGACTTTCATGTAAATAAAGAAGCCATTACATTACAGAAAACCAATAAAGCACGTCCCTTAATGCTACGAAAGTCATAATTGACTACATTAGACATGCTGTGGGAGTCCTGGATGTAAATATAACTATGGGAATGCTTACCTTTGTTGGAAATGCATGACAAAGCTATAGGACATACTTAAGAGAAGAAAAATCCAGAAAACAGAAGTCACAGACAGGTGACAAATAAAAGGTTGAAGAAACTGAATCACAAATTGAAGATTTCAAACATAATAAGACCAGACTTGAGCCTGATATTAAGAAACTCCTTTCATTTGTTGATGAAAACTGAACAGAAGCTGTTAAACAAAAAATGCTGAAATACTTTTTCTTTGCCATTTATATTTTCAAATAATTCAGTTACATCTGAATACTGCTAGATTAGTAATAAAAATATTACAGCCTTCTCACCTGAATAAAACATTATTGTAAAATGTCTGTATAATATTTGCATTTGAAAACATGTCCGTCCAGACGCATTTGAATTTCTAGAAATGGTCTTTAAAAAGTCATGGAAAGTCACAACATTTCATTTCCACATAAGTGCAGGAACTCTGGAAGCATCTCCAACTTCTTCTTGCCACTGGTGACTCCACCCAGACTATATCAGCTATACAGGATGGTGAGTACTTGATGACCTTATAGAGACCTTCCCAACGATTTCTTAAGGCAGTCAAATTACAAGATCCAATCAGCGGCTCAGGAAAGCATACATTCAGGAAAAGACTATTCATTTCCATTAGTAGCCATATCTTTCTATCTGTTAAAAGTCTATCATCATGGAATGTCAATGAGCAGATAAGCTAACATCTTTACTCTTTGTCTTTCAGGTTGACTATGTTTTGCTGGCTACACGAAGGCAGGATTTCAACAAATGGACATCAAGGCAAACCTGACTAGATCACAACACAAACACCCAAAATAATATCACCAAGAACTGACTTTGCTTAGAATTATGTCACAATTCTAAGAATCTGTGACACTGCCCAGGATACTGTCTTCAATGTTATCAGACAAGCCTCATTAACTTCTCAACCTTCATATATAATTAATGTGCTAGAATCTCATGAAGACCAAATTAATGAATTATCCAGCAAATTGTGGTTCAAAACGAAGAATAATTGAGACAGTTCCTAAGGTCAGGATTTATTCACTTCAAGGCTGGGCACATCCTGCTCATTTTGAACTTGTAGCTAAGTACAGAATTATATGAATAAAGATATATTCATATACTACTTTACAATATGGTTTAATTTATGATAACTGGGTCAAGCATAGCCTAGTGGTTGACGTGCTATGCTGTGGATTGGAAGGATCAAAAGTCAAGAAACAATATGCAGCTAAACACATTCTGCCCTTTCAGCAGTGTGGAAATTATAAATGTAACAGTCATTCCCACTATTCAGTTACAAACAACCATGTAGGCAGTAAGTGCTGACAGCTGATTGCCTTCCCTCTAATCAGAAACTTTAAATTAGGGATGGTTGTGTCACATAAGGTAGCATTTCGATTGAAAATACCAAATTATACAACAGCTATTTAAGTAAGAATCATGTAGTTTTCCTTAATACAGAATTGTACATTAATATATTAAATGAAAGGTAGAAAACAAAAGAAAGACCTGTATTCTTCTTGCATTGGAGCCAAAATATGACTTACAGATTGAAGTCTACTCTTGCCTAGATAAATTTTATATAGATCTTATTTACTTTACCTAAATATTTCATTGGTCTTGTATACTCTATATATATAATTGGTGTAAGCTGTATCTAGAGTACACAAAACTGTCTACTTTATATCTAGAGACAGCATTGTAATTTGTATTGTATCTAGAGGGGGAAAAACAGTCAGATATATCTAGTGAGGCAAGACTGTCAAAGTTTCATCAAGAGCAAACACATTAATTCAATAGATATGTTAAGTGTGTTGTGCATCTTTTGTTATAGCAAAGGCAAATCGGGCTACTTGTTGTGTCCACCGAGGGGACCCGAACCCCTGATATTAGCATTGGAAATCCAAAGACTTACTGCTGTCCCAGCAGGGGAGGATATGTAAAATGAATAAAATTTATGTAAAATACTGAAGCAGGTCTTGTGATGTTAGCTATTAATGTAATAAAAATTTTATAATCACATATTTATAATAGTGGTTTTCATAAAGTAAAAATTTCATTATTCCTTTAATATGTCCTTATGTGAGACTGTGTAAAAACACTTGGTAGATTTCTTTAAACATTTTAGAATTATCATTGAATGAATACAATTCATTTTCTAATAATTTTCCTTCTATTTACCCATGAGGTTTTGTCTTCTAAAGATAAGGAAATAATTTTACATACCTCAGCTTTCCTGGATGCATCTTGTAAAGCTTTGAGCTCATACAACTTATTTCCAGGTTTAATCTGGCCTTTGTTTACATCATCTATAGCCTGCAAGTATGTAAAACTTCCTATATAAAACACCTTCAGTGTAATATAAATTAAAATGCTATACCCAGATAACTTCATTACTTTTATCTTTAGCATGTGTTATTGATAAATTTTTAAAAGCTTAGATTGAAAAGTATAAAAAATATATAGACAAAAACTATATTTTAAAGTACCAAACTCCTATATTTTTTTTACTTAAATTACTACAACTTTAACCAGATTCTAGAATCCATGCTAACAGCTCAGGAGATCACTTATATCTTGTGGTGTAATTAAAATAATGCAAAATTCTTTCTACACTTAGCTCATAAAGTTGTAGTAATTTAAGTAAAAGAAAATATTGGAGTTTGGTACTCTTTGTAGCATGCTGTATACAGTGCAATATGTATTCTAAGTACCCATAATACACACAGTTCACTAAGTATGTCAAATAAGGATTTCAACAATGTAACATACAGATTTTTCATTAAACCAATTTTCTTTAATATTCTGGTTATCAATTAGTGCTGTAATAAGTCATCTCACTAACTAGATATGAGGTAAACATATACGTAAATAACTAATGCATTACTAAGTAAGACATAATTTAAACCATTTATTTATTTACCATTGAAAAATATATTTATTTTTGAAATAATAAATAGTTGTTATTTAAATGGTGTATTACTTTAGTTAATTAAATATCAAAGATATATGAGTAAATCAATATGATATTGCATTATTACTTGATAGATTTTTATTTTCCACCAAAATGTAAAATCAAATATAAAATAAAATAAGCTGTGATCTAAGAACTATACATGAAATAAATAAAAAATTTACTATTCTCACAATGAAGTACAAAAAGTGTTTTCCCTCATGATGTGTTCTTTGATGGATCTTTTAAATTCTAACGTTTAAAGTTATAAATGGTACCCCAAGTTCGTACTTCCCTAGTAGTTTTTATAACCATACCTCATATATTTTTCTTATATTTTCTTCTTGAAAAAAAAAAGACTAGAGGAATAGTTGGTTTGTACAAATAAGAAATATTTTAAAATGTTTTTCTGATTTTTATCTAAAATATCTTTACTTTCATTAAACTTACTTCCAAAGTGCCTGTATCTGTCTGTATTAGCTCTAAAAATAGTAGGGGAAGACAATTAGAAAATTCTTCTATCAAAGCATTATTATTTTTGGTTAACCCACCAAACTTTAGCTAACTTCTTAACTTGATGCTTCTTCTTAAATGATTTTTCTTCCTAACATTCAACATAAAATTGTTTCAATGTGTACTTAATGGCAAATAATAAAACCAAGTTGTATTTACAAAGACATTATTTCACATCAGTAGGGCATTAAATAAAATATTTCACATTTTACTTTTTAATTTGTGTAAGCTGATTACATTTAAAAAATTTTTGATGCTCTTTAAGATAGCATTATTTTTCAAACTATTTATATGCTATGAATACAGTGTACCACAAAGTCAGTGAAACCTAACACTTCAAACAGAAGAGAACTATTTATTTCCACACAACCAGTAATCCAACTTACTAGTCAACACATGATCCAGAATCATAAGAATAAACCATATCAAATGCTTATGTACATTTACTTTCCAATCACAGTTTTGGCCATATATTATTTGCCATTTAACATTTGTACCATAAAAATCAGTCAAGTTTTAAAGATAATGAACTAACCTGCCAGAAGAAGAAAGTGCTAGCAATTGTGTCCTCTTTACTAAGTTCTATTTCCTTGCTCAGGGAAAAAAACCACTTACGGATTACTAAGCAAGTTGACGTTGCTGTGCTATAGTTCTGAATATACAGGTTATGAGGAAATTCATTGGTCTGAAGTTTACGCTCTAGACAAAATGGATTAATAAAACTGTTGTAACAAGACTTAATGAATTACACATTGTAAATCAATTACTTCACATGCATCATTTTAAATAAGGCATATAGCAATATATATCAGAGGAGTGATTTTCTTGATTGTAATAATATATCAAACTATATATCAAATGACATCCAAATTTTGTTATGAAATAACTTATAAGTAATAATGTTTTTTGTTGATTATCACAAGACCAAAATGGAAAACAGAAAAAGAAAGGTTCTTGTAATATACCATGGGTACTTGAGATACAATTATAAAAATGTTCAGAGCATATTAATAGACTATGACTTGGGTTTTTAACATGAAACTTATGTTGATTTATTCTATATCTTAAATTTTCAGTTTTGTCAACATAACATTCACAACACACTGTACATTTTAACATATAGTTCTTAGAATTGCAATCAAAGTGCTTCCAATCAACTAAATATATTAAAAAATACAGTATTTCAAACCTGCTGGTCCTTTTAATATTATATATATATATATATATATAGAGAGAGAGAGAGAGAGAGAGAGAGAGAAAGAGAGAGAAAGTTGAGCATGCCATATTAAAATTAAATTTGAATATGCAAATCAGCAAGTCACATGAAAACCATAGCTGATATAAAGTTGCAGTGGAATGGCATGTATTAGAGTTACATTTTGACATTGTTTAGCATTTTGTAGGTAGCATGATGCTTCCAAAACACTGAGTGCTTTTGGGAAGGGTATGTAACAGCCCCTTTAGAATGCAAGATATTCACATACTTAGACCATAAAGATGTATTCAGATTGAGGATTTAGAATTTCCAAAATGGGGATATTTTTTGTACTGAATAACATTGAAAACCAAGGAATATGAATCCACATGGGACACTAGGACTATCCAGAAAGAGCCTTGCAAAAAGCTACACCCCAAACGTGGTAAGTTAAGTGTGGGATCTTGTAATGGTTGAGAATCAATGTACACAAAGATCAGTGGCAAAAGTCACCCATGTGCCTCAGGCAATGGTATGCAACATAATCAAAAAGGATGTCTGTCTGGAAAAAGACATATATATACACAAGCAGTTTCTACAACATGTCCAGGAAAAGCAGACCAGTTGTAAAAAACTGTATGAATGGTCCTTAGCTGAATAAAAATTGTGGTAACTGGTGACACTAAAAAGAGACATATTTGTACTCTGATAACTGTAAAAAGTCTTGTGTCATTTTCTACTGGTGAACAGGTGAAAAAAAATTGCAAAAGTGGTTCAATGCATGTTGCAAAATTGTTTAGAAGATATACCTGATCACCATTGAATACTACACCAAGGACAAGTTAGGGATCAGGAGAGTGGATGAACAAGATGAACACTGCTAATTATCAGGTCAATGTTCTGGATTCTTTGCACCACACAGAAATACTGGTTTTGTATGAAAACAAGGCCAACATGATATGGGTTCACCAAGATTAGGATTCCAGTCATACCCAGTTCAACCTTCACATAACTCAAACAGTGTGCTTTGGACATAACAGAGCCTTTTGTGATGAAAACTATGCTGCAGTGCTATTTTCAGGATGCATGGTCATCAGATAGAGCATGACTGGATGTGGTGACTTGGACTGTAATAATGTAGTGAAGCTCCAAAATCATTTTAATATAATGTACTCAACCCTACCTCTCTCTCTCTCTCTCTATGTATATATATACAGAAAACAGACAAGAACTTCATTGTACCTTCACCAGTTCTCCAAAAATATAACCACCTAGAAAGCCATACATGCATACTGAAAACTGATTAAGTTATCCATAAATATGTCTTTAAAACGAAAAATTATTTTATCCTGCATAATGCAACTGTATAAAATGGAGTGATAGCCTTCCAAAATTCTCTCCAAAAAGATCAAATACAAATATACACTGAAAGTTCAATCTTAAACTTAAAGGGAGAAAAAAAAGTTATAATTTTATTAACACTCGTCATAGGCAAGTCAAAATGCACATCACCAGATTATTAGACAATTTCATTAAAAATTTAATTAAGCTACATTATTATTATTGTATATGAATAACAATGGCATTGAAACATAGTTAATAAATAAAATCTTAATATTATATAAGTTTTAAGTTTTTAATTTCACAAGGAAATATTTTAAAAAATCCTCAATCTCCCACAGTATGAGAATTGTGACATTTGTTCTCTAGGTCTTCCCTCTTCTCTAACTTATTTACTACCACTCCAAGAAGTACAGAATGTAACGTACATTACTCATTATAACACAGATATTACTGGGGCAAAGTATAATTGTTATAGCTTTCAATCTTATTTATTTATGGAGCCATAAACTAGAGTATAAGACCCACTTGCCATGCCTACCTGTCACATCTCATCTTTCACGAATTTCGAATAGTTCTCTCTAATGTTTTATATTTTATTATTTTTAACTAATAGAGATATAAAGTTTAATCTATGAAATTAAATATTATATTACACTGTTTTTTGTACAGAAAATTGTTTATTTCACTTCCAGTTCAAAACTTTATTTTCATAGGAGTCACATCAACAAGATTATCTATATTTTTAAAGGTTCTTATTGCGTAGTTAGAAAGCCAGAAAAATTGATATTTATAGGACATTGTTTGTTTGTGCACATTACTATTCTGTGTTCTTAGGTGGATTATTTAATTCAATAAAAATTATTTAGTGTAGTAGTACCATTAATATAAAAAATAGGCTTGAGTTTCATCGACAGTTGACAGCAAAAACAAGATGACCCAGGTAAGTACTATATTTCTTTTCCCTTTATTTGTACTATAAAAGTAATTAAAATGTAAAAATTAGAAACTTACTAGGTTAGCTAAGGTTAGACTGGTAAGATAATGAAAAATAACAACAATATTTCTTCACAAGGTACATTCATGATCAGCTGATGCTTTATGTACTCCAATACAGTAATGTGAACATGTTCACTGAGCAATTTACAACTTGTGTGGCAGAATTATGTTAGACACAGTTCAAAAGACAATAAAACAATAAAATTTAAGTAGAAACAGATATATACTGTAATGCGCTTTAAGTTAGTTAGGATAAACAACTGTAGTTTCCAGTTACAGTTTGCAGTCATTCTAGAAAGTAAAAAAGGTAACTTATATTTATTTCATAATTTTTCATGGTGATTATGAGGTTGGTCAAATTAACCGAATGTGTATAGTGTTAGAGTAAAGAAAACCACAGACAAAATATAAAGCTTTACTGAAAAAAAAACAAAAAAACGTTTGATATTGATTTAGGATGTTTAATAGATTACAGAAATGAAATATGACAATTTTAGATGAAGAAAAGTATTCTTAATATAAACATGAAAATCGCTGCATTTAGAGCAGTCAATGACTCCATATATTCATGGAGAAATTTTTAGTGAAAATACTTAATTAAAAATTCTGTTTTTTTGTGTACAAAAGATTTGTAATGTTTACTGAAAGTCTGCAAATGTCATGAAGATACACAAAACATATTAAAAGTTATAATATGGAAACTATGATGTTCACTTTGGGGTCTTGTTGTTGAATTGACTGATCATATAGCAATAGATTTAACAAAATACAGCTACAAATATATAACTTACAGACAGTGATAGCTATGCTACTACACTAAGCAGCTTCTTTTTGCTCTCCATAAGCATATACTTGAAAGAATGCTCAATGTTGACCAACACATGAAATTAAACAATAGCGAAACTAATCTGTCATCCACTAAATATCGTACACTGATTGATAACATTAAAAACAATTTTTTTAGCCAATGCAGAATATGCAAGGCTTAATAAAATCAATTCTTCCACTTCCATTTTTAATAATTTATTTTTTATATGCACTGATACTTGTGACACAAACACTACTATTCACAAACAACTTTACATGATTTTCTCAGTTGTCAGAGGAAGCCATTTGTTAGTTATAAGGAAAGCTCTAATTTTTTGTGGTGAGAATTCCACTTTCAACTGCTTAATTACATAATGTGACAAGCTTACCCCTTTTCTGAAGATATAGTTGACCAGTCAATAGCCAAAGTTCAAATGATAATAACAGAATAGATATTAATGAAGTAAAACATTATTAATGCTATATGAAATATTGTGTTAGACTTTTATAAGTATTAAACCAAGACTCAAATTTACTGTCAGATGATCTTTCTAGGCTAAACACTTCTTAATATAAACACCTAGTTCTAAAACATTCAAATTTTGGCATGTGATTCTAAAGCTATCTACATGAAGCATAATATACTAAGCATTTATATATATCATACTTTGAATATTGTAAAAGTAACTAAATAATAAATTTTTGTTTTTTGTTCACAAAAAACTTTTTCTATTGTATGCTTGTTTGTTACAGATTTTACGCAAAGCTGCACGAGGGCTATCTGAGCTAGCCTTCCCTAATTTAGCAGTGTAGGACTAGAGCAGGGATTCCCAACCTTTTTGTTCCTCTGTACCCTTTGGCCTTGAGCATTCTGACATGTTCCCATTTTAAGGAAATAAAATTAAGGATCAAAAATTAATAAAATTATATTGATTTTATATTATTTTATTATGAAATATGTATGTGTGGACTGCATAAGGATCTTATAGTATT